TGCTTTCCAGTGGTGGTCAACAGAATAATGCTGAACAAAGCAGAAACACTGGTCAGTGGGGGTGTGAGTGAATCACTTTAAGAGGCTATTATGGACAGTCCTGATCCAAATATGCAAAACGAAAATGGCAAGATCACCACCACAAACTGAGAAACAAGATACAAGTATTACTACATGGTGCTATTAATTCAAGATTTTAATAGAAACCAAGTATAAGCCTAATACAATTCTGGCACTGGAGGTAAATTAACTTGCCTGTCCTTTTGAGCCCCATTTGATTTAATAATAAGATTATGTGTTTCCTGTAAGTCACTAAATTATATTTATTGAGTATTCTTTTTTTTTTTTTTTTTGAAGCACTACACAATGCTTTGCCTCAGACTAACAAAATGGGTTCCATACTAATATGGAAAGGTAGAAAATTAAACACATTAACAAACAAAAAAAACCAAGACAAACTCTAAAAATATCTGCCACACTATTTTACTTTTTAAAATTAAAGTCATTTTTAACATTTAACCTTGAAAGGATGTCAATTCTTTAAACTATGAGATAATCAAAATTGTTTTATAGACTTCTAAATAGTGGTACTTAAAAATTTAATACAGTATTTTAGACTCTTATAAATACATTCTCTTTCTGAAAGAGTAAACATCTCATTTCTGTTGTTAACTGTGATTTCCACACACAAAAGAGAGAGGTAACAGAATGTTATGGTACCTTTTTATATGATTCAGCTAAATCACAGAATTATATTTTAAAAATTTAAAGCAAGAATAATCTTTAAATGTCATCATGGCCCAACTCTTTCATCTCATTTTTTACATATAAAGAAACTGAAGCACTGAAATTAAAAGTCATGTTAAGGCACTAAACCAGTAGTCTAGCCCAGAGATTTTCCCACAATACTATTGCATCTTTTAAAATACTAACTATACATGGTTATTTAGACCTGGGAATGGATAACACCTCTCAGTTCTACCCCTCAGTAGTTGTGCGATCTTGTGCAAGTTATCTAACCTTAGTTTTCTCATTTATAAAATAGGGAAAATAGTTCAGAAGTTTATTCTGAAATTACCTCAAGTTGACAAAGTGCTTAGAAAAAAAAAATCACTGAACATACCTAATACAATCTGCCATCTGCATTTTAAATCTAGTGTACTTACCAATTTACACACTAAACATATTTACACGCATTTAATAAATGCCTTGGGGATGAAATTAAACAAGTAAATGCAAGAAATCATGTCTTTATTTTATTTGTATCCTGAGTCCACAAATCTGTATATATAATTTCATTTTATTATTTTCATATTTAAATTCTAAAATAATAGGATTTGGAAGTTCATTTGTTTTTTTTAATATCTCATAAAAATAAAATTTTAAATTATACACCACTCAACTAACTGGAATTTTCATTTCATTTGTGGGTTTGTTTGCAGAGTGACTTCTATATAAAACTGTGATTCCCTACCAAGAGAACAGGTCAATGTAATCTTTAAAACTGTTCTAACACATATCCCTAACTATCCAATTTCCTGAGAACACCAGGAATTGGGTGTTACACTAATTATACACAGGTGCAATCTAAAAATTGTCCTCAATTTATGACTTTCTCTTTCCAAAAGCTCAATTTCTAATCTGTTTTGACTGAAAAACTCAAAGCTTAAGAATAAACATAAGCCCATTACTCTTAATCATCAGTTTCTACCTCTCACTCAACAGAAAGTGATAGAAGTCAGTGTTATACCTTGATGTAAATAAGAAGCTTATCAGCCTAAGTTCCAGTTATCTATTGCTGTGTAACAATCATTCTGATATACAGTGGCTTCAAATAGCACTAATTATTACTTTGTTCACGAATCTGCAATATGGGCAGGGCTCCGCAAGGAAATCTAGTCTATGCTCCATGTAACATCAGCTGGGGCTGCTCAACTTGGAATAGCAAACCGGTGTTTACTACTAGCTGGGAGCTCAGCCAGAGAGGGAACCAAGGTCTTTGGCAGTTTGAAAGGGCTGCTAGATTCCAAAAGAGTATCAAAAGAGGACTAAGCATATCACCTTTTGTGACCTTACCTTGGCAATAACTACATGGTATCTGCTGTAGTCTTTGACCTCCCCAAACACGAGAAATATGCACAGACCCTACCTCTTTATGGGGTGGGTGTTAGTCACACTGTACGATAGCAGATCTTGTTGTGGACATCAGAAAAATGCAACTTTCCATTCTATAATTCCCTCCTACCTTATCTCCTAGCTCTTGGATCACTTCTCAGTCTACTCTGAAAGGCTTTTCTTCCCTGATACTTACTTTTATCATCTTCTTAATCCATTTAAATTGAAAGTGGGGCTGCTACTTAATTTTAAAAAATAGCAACTACTGTTTTAATTAGTCTTCTAAGCCGTTTATTAAGGTAATCTTCAAAATAATGTTCCCTGTTTTTTAAGTGAGAAAACTGAAGCACAAGACCACACAACTGAGGAATACAGCTAAGAGATGTAATCCATTCCCTGGTCCAAGTCATCAACCAAAATAATAATACTGAAACTGCTATGTAACTAGCTAGGACCTCTTTCTAAGTTACTAATTTGTATTTGCAATTGCCTCCTGGAGTTCTTCACCAGAATATCTTGTTAAAAACTTAAACTTACTATACGGCACAGGGCCTACCGGGCAAGCGCCAAGATCCTGAGTTCAATTCCCAGTACCAAGAAAAAAAAGGAATACACTATTCCTTTTTCTTGAAAGGGTCCTTCCAATTTTCTTTGACATAGTTAGTAATTATGTTATCAACCACCTATTGTCCAAAGTTTACTAACTTGGAAATAACAATTCCTCAGTAACTAAATTCTTTTGGTTCTTCCTCCACAATGTCTTCCCCAAATATTCTGTCTTCTTTGCCCCATTAAATTAGGCTAGGTTTTCACCTGCTTAGATTAATCAATCAACAGATAATTCTTGAGGAATTTCCATATGACAAAAACTATGCCAGTTTTCCTATGACCCCTATTTTCCAAGGTAACAATTTTTCCCCCACTGACAGCCATTCTTCACATCAATATTAAAATTATCTGCTTCATATGAACACTCCCTAAGATGCCAGGTCAGCTCTGCTAACCACGGGCTACTAAAAGGCTTCTCAAAACTTCCTCGAATCCCTGTCATCTCAATGCCTTGCTGAGTCATTATCCCTATTCCTAAAACATGCACATACACTTCATGTATCTTCTCAATACTCCCTAAACACACCTCACCTTATAAATTGGATTTATCTTGTCTGTGCCTTGGATGCCTTTTTCCTGCTTGAAATGTTCTACTCACCTACCAACACCCAATTTATATGTCCTTACTACATGAAACTTTCCTAATTATCCCAGGAAGAGAGCCTATGCTCTCACTGCACTGTACTATTGGCTAATATATTTGTCTTTCCAAACTATAATTTTAACTCATTATCTTATTAACTTAAGTACTTGGAATGATATCAGGCCGAGGGTAGGTAAGGAACTCAGTAACTGTTTGGTCAAAGAATATATAAATGAATTAATAGTATTTCTATGGTGTGCCGCTTTGAGACATTCAGCCTCATTAATCTTGGCACCTTACGTTGAACTTAAAAGGCATTCAAAAAAATTTGTCGAATGAGTGAACAATTAATTAACTAGTTCTCATACTAACAAAGAATTCTCCCATAAAGGTAGCCTGCCCAGAGAGAAGGAACGACTGTAGAAGAATCACGAGACAAAATCAGCAAGAAGAGAATATGTGTCTTCAATGATTCATTAAAGTAAGAATATCTGTTACAACCAAAAAAGAACTTACCACCACAGCCATTTTTATATATAAAATACATAATTAATCAAAACCACAGAGAAATCCCTGTTCAAAAAGCCCATACAGAGCAATCATTTAAAAATACTACAGATGAATCCTTTAAAAAAAAATCTGTCAACAGCGGTTGAAACTAAGAAGAGTACTAGGCTAGAATACACATTATTACAATAACTAAATTGTCTATTAACAAATCACTTCTGACAAATGAGCAAAGTTGTGTTAAAAAAGGAAGAGTCACAGGACCAATAAGATTTTAAAAAACAGTTGACATGGACATTTTATGGATACAAAAGTTTGTTTTCCTTTAACTTTTCTGCAATGTGGAAAATGAAAGCACAATTCCATTTAACAGTGCATGAAAACTAGGACTCACAAAAACAAAATATCCTTGACTACATACTGCTCTCTGTTAGCCAGTTTGCCAGCTGTCACTAAGACTAGGAAACAGGAGAAAAAGACACTCCCTGATTTATCCTACAACCTCGATCTATGGCAGCAGCTGCAGGAAATGGCAACAGTGACTGAAGGTTTTCCTTCTTTCCTCTCTAAAGAGCAAAGATCAACACTACACTTGGGGATGTAATATTCTAGCCATCCAGGAAACAAAATACACTTCTTATTTATTTGAAGCTATGATAATATACTTTTAATTCTGATAAAGCAAAAAGCGATATATGACCAGGAGAAAAAGTCACCTGAATTAAAATATACCAATATTTACATTTGCCCTAGGAACCCTTTGGCCAAAAGATTACTGTCTACAGCACCAATGAATCTTACCAACCACCACGTAGTACTAAGAGTCACTAAATTAAACTCTGGTTTGGGCTTAACTACTTTATTAAATGTTAAGACCTTAGCAAAATAGTATTTCTCCACACTCGTACTTTACCCCTGAAGAAGAAGGGCAGTAATCAAATACATCTGCAAGTAAGTTACTGAATTGAACTCTTGTCACACAGTTAGAAAAAAATGTGTATGTTCCAAACCACAACTGGGAATGTTAAGGAGGATTCATTAGCTCAAAAGATAATATCTTATGAACTGTAACAAAACTTTTCTGCTAACAGCAGATTTATCACAAAATTCATTAATCAAAGATCTCTAACAAATTCTTAAAAGTTTTCTATCTTCATAAAACATGAAAAACAAAACACAGAATTACCTAGTATCTTGCCCTGGGCTACACAATAAAGCTCTTAACGCGAACAATGTCTTCCTGCTCCCGAGTCAATAAACAGATTTGTAAATCAATGCCATCTATCTTCCAGCACTTAAATCTGAGGAAATGTAACCAATATTTCTTAAGTATTCTGTGTAATCACAATCCTTCCCTCATGAAGTAGCGTTCTATTACAGTTTAGTGCAATACTGACAGGTCATTCCCCTCAACAAAAGCATTATCTATGCAAGGGATGACTGCAAGCCACAATGTATCGGGAGGTCAATTCCATTTGCTGTGAAAATTGGCGCTTAAATTGTAAACTACAAAAACTGCAGAAAAATAGGTAGGAAAAAAATACTCTTTTTACTATGGAGAAATGCTCAATTGTGAACTACGGTGCTCGTTACCACTATAGTATTTTATTCTTCTGTTACTCAGCATGAAACAAGCGCACAAAACAGGGTCTTCCCTTCACTTCGTGACTCTACTTTCATTTCCTTCACACCAGGAGATATTTGCTTCATCGCCGCGTGGCAGATGAGGATTTTCCTATTCTATTATCGCCAACATCACAGCTGCCCACAGCGGGCTCTGTGAAATTAAACCTTCAGGTCCAGATCCCGAAAACTCTCAAGGAGAGACATCAGAACGCCTCTGTCTCGCATTCGGCCAGGATCTTCTGGGGGCCGCGGGGACTTTCACAACACACACAGATGCGGTCCAGTTTGGCTTCTCTTCGCCCGCAGGCCAGGCAGGCCCAGTGGTCCTGTAAGCCGCCCGGGGCTTTGCACACCCCAGGGCAGGGCGGCAGGCACACGGGTGCCGCTCCCAGTGCTTACTCAGCGCCGGGGATCGGAAGCCCGAGCCCGGATCTCAGGGAAGCGCGCCGCGTGGTCGCGAGGACGCCCGCGACCCAGGCTCTACGGAGCCGGCCCGGCACGCCCTTCCCGCCG